GAGCTTTTGTTAACATTCTATTTCTAACAGCCTTTACTTAATTCATATAGTTGTAACATCAGATCATTAAGCTAAAAAAATTCCGGATTCTAGCAGCCAACACATGATAAAATCCCTTACAGTTGAACAAACATTACTGAATTCTTGCATAAGGCCCCATTCAAAAGCATGAGCATCACAAGAGTGGCTAAAACATGGTCTTATAATCCTGGTGGGAGAAGTGAGTATTTGCTCAGCCACTGCTGATAGAAGGCAGAGAGGTAGTGCTGTATATATGTGTGGGGATCTTCATGACTGTCCCTGGTTCCTGTTCCTGTTCAGTGGCCAGGGGAGTCATTGTAGACACAGTCTGGATTTTGGGAAGTTGGTCCTGTGTGCAGAGAATTAAGTTGTTTGGATTTCTTCCCATATTGGCTTTGAGTTACTCCTTTGACTCACCACCAAATTTTCATTATTTCTGACTTGAAATATCCCAGTCATTAAAATGGATTGCAGTTAACTTTCAGATGCTTCTACATGGAAGATTCAAGAATTAAAGACAACAGTCGGGAGTTGGTGAAGGGGTTGATGCGGGATTAGATATTTCCCTTCCAAACATTCTTAGATGCCGTTTAAAACAATCTAAGCCCATTATCAGATGGAGGATGTGATATCTGGCCACTCATTATAACTTTCATGTGATATTCCAGTTAATGCATTTGTAATATGATATTGCATAATATAGTATCGATTCGGTTTGATTTAATCCAATGCAGATGCATTTTTTAGCCTTAGGAGTTCTGCTTGCTTAACTCTCTTAGGACAAAAAATGTGGCTTATACCAAAATTGAGTAATGAGTAATGGCTTCATTGTGGTTTTTCCTAATTTGCTTTTTTAAAATGTCAGTCACTAAGTCTGTTGACTAATTATTAAGCAATCTAAGTATTTTAAATATTTGTGAGTAATTAGTCTGCTCTGTGAATGGCTTGAGTAGTCATTAAAGTGGAATGTCAACTTTATTTATTGAAATATTTCTACTTCTGTTGAACTCTCCTTTCTTTATAGGTGAAATATTGTAGTTCTCGTGGCCTTTGTTTAGTTTGCTCTTTCATGTGGTCCCACACAAAGCCAGGTTGTTATCTAAGCCATAAGCATGAGCTTGAGAGTAACGCTCTTAAAAATAACACTTGTTACCCCTGGTTAGATCTGAGGCCATGGTCAGATGAGTTCCATGTGTGCCCCTTGACTCTTGCCAAAAACCTAGCACTTCTCTCTGAGGTCACATCATAACCCCTAACCCTGGCCCATGATAATCCCCGTGTATTAGCTATTTCAAGGGGGATCAGACAAGTCAGTTCATCCCTGTTATTGTTGTTTAGTTGCCAAGTTATGTCCTACTCTTCTGTAACCCCATGGATTATAGCATGCCAGGATCCTCTGTCCATGGGATTTCCCAGGCAAGAATACTAGAATGACTGCCATTTCCTTCTCCGGGGGGTCTTCCCAACCCAGGGATCAAGCCCTGGTCTACTGCATTGCAGGTGGATGCTTTACTGCTGAGCAGTAAACAGGCAAAACCTGTTCACACCTGTACTAGTCTTGAAAACATGAGACCACTAGATTCTGGTGTCCAATTAGCACCCAGCCCTTCACAAGGGCAGAACATGGACATAAGCTTTCTCCTCTCTCATTGTGCCATATTTCCATAGAGGTGGAAATAGCCATCGACGAGTCAGATGACCAGAGCTGAAGTCCTGGAATTTGGAAATTTTTTTAAAAGTCCAATTTTACTACCTTAACTGTCTTGTGATTTGAACCATAAACTTCTCTGGATCTGTTCAGTAGTTTTTCAGACATCTTTCTAGAGTTATAATTCACATGCCATACAGTTTATCCATTTAAAGTGTATAATTCAGTGACTTTTCACAGAGTTGTTTATTCACAGAGTTGTCCATCTATCAGCACAATTTCAGAACATTTTCATTATCCTCAAAAAACAAAAAACAAAATCCCCATACCTGGCTGTCACTGCCCAGACCTCCCATCCCCTCTGGCCCTAAGCAACCACACATCTATTTCTGTCATTGTTAGATTTGCCAGTCCTGGCCCTCATTCGTGCTTGGTTGCTCAGCCTTGTCCAACTCTTTGTGATCCTTTGGATTGTAGCCTACCAGGCTTCTGTGCCCATGGGATTCTCCAGGCAAGGATACTGGAGTGGGTTGCCATGGCCTCTTCCAGAGGATCTTCTTGACCCAGGGATCAAACCCACGTCTCCTGTGTCTCCTGCATTGGAAGGCGGATTCTTTACCTGCTGAACCATCTTGGGAAGGCACCATTTGGTATAAATGGAATCATGGAGTGTATACTCCTTTGCGACTGGCTTCTTTCACTTAGCATACTGTTTCCAGGGGTTATCAATGTTTAGCATGTATCAGCACTCCATTCCTTTTTATTGCCAAATAATAATCCATTGTCTGGATCGACCACATTTAATTCATCCATTCATCACTTGGTGGACTTTTAGGCTGTTTTCATGTTTTGTCTATTATGAATGATGCTGCTCTGAGGGTTCGGGTATAGGCTTTTGTGTGGACATATTTTTGCATTTCTCTTGGGTGTGTACCTAGGAGTAAAATTGCTGGGTCCCATGGTAATTCTGTGCTTACCTGTTTGAAGAATTGCCAGACTGTTTTCCAAAGATTCCATAGGATCTTATACCCTAATTTACAATGTATTAGGATTTCAGTTTCTCTATATCCTTAGCAGTCACCTGGCTCTAAACCGTGTGCTGTTGCATTCCACTCTGACTGTCTCCAGGGGTTGCGTGTGGCAGCTGCTGTGCGTCCAGCTGACAGATCTGACCTGACGGAGCCCGTGCACTCTTAAAATCCAAGGCAGTCATCTCCCAAGTAAACAGCTGGCTGCTGGTCCAAATGTATTTGTTCTTGCCAGCTTTAGTTTGGAATGGTAATCTTATGTAGGGTTGCAGTGTGAGGGTGGGGCCTTGCAGGGCAAAGTAGTGTGTTAGTAGCCTTCTCTTTAAATCTTCAACCTAGAAGAGAATTCCTAGTAGAGAAAGAAGAAATACTTTTTGTGCAGTCCTTCTTCATGTCTGTTCTCTTTTTAAGTCCGTTCCTTCTACCTCACACCCTTGGTAATGGTGGTAGAGAAGAGTGTGTGTTTCTTTTTTTAATTAGACAGAGGCAGTGGAGGCCCAGAGAGGGCCTCTGAGTTATGACCATTGGTTAATAAAAATGACAGAGTGCATTGATAACTAACTGCCACTAACTTATTCTGCCATTCTCACCTTCCAAGTAAAGGAGGACCCTTGAACTTGCCTCAGAACTTGCTCTACCTAGGTCCTTTCTGTTAATATAGCACAGAAGCATATGGTTAGATTTTAGAAGTCTATATAATAAATGTCTGTTTTTAAAGCAGATAATTTGAACATTTTCAGTTGCCTTTTAATTAGCTTAACTCCATCTCTTCAGGTCTCCTCTCTTCTTTTTGTCCATTTTGAATCAGAGAAACTTGAAAAACATTGTATACTAATTGCAGACACCTAGGGTTCAGTTCAATTCAGTCACTCAGTCATGTCTGACTCTTTGCAACCCCATGAACCGCAGCACACCAGGCCTCTCTGTCCATCACCAACTCCCGGAGTTTACTCAGTCTCATGCCCATCGAGTCAGTGATGCCATCCAGCCATCTCGCCCTCTGTCGTCCCCTTCTCCTCCTGCCCCCAATCCCTCCCAGCATCAGGGTCTTTTCCATTGAGTCAACTCTTCGCATGAGGTGGCCAACGTATTGGAGTTTCAGCTTCAACATCAGTCCTACCAATGAACACCCAGGTCTGATCTCCTTTAGAATGGACTGGTTGGATCTCCTTGCAGTCCAAGGGACTCTCAAGAGTCTTCTCCAACACCACAGTTCAAAAGCATCAATTCTTCAGCCCTCAGCTTTCTTCGCAGTCCAACTCTCACGTCCATACGTGACCACTGGAAAAAACCAAAGCCTTGACTAGATGGGCCTTTGTTGACAAAGTAATGTCTCTGCTTTTCAATATGCTGTCTAGGTTGGTTATAACTTTGCTTCCAAGGAGTAAGCGTCTTTTAATTTCGTGGCTGCAGTCACTGTCTGCAGTGATTGTGGAGCCCAGAAAAATAGTCAGCCACTGTTTCCCCATCTATTTGCCATGAAGTGATGGGACTGGATGCCATGCTCTTAGTTTTCTGAATGTTGAGCTTTAAGCCAACTTTTTCACTCTCCTCACCTAGGCTTAAATCCAGGCCTTGCTATTTACAGCCTGTGTGATCTTGAATTGTTTGCTTAACCTCTCTGTGTTGAAATTGTTACATGGAAAAATAATAGTGCATATCTGATTTTAAACAAGTTAACACACATAAAGTACTTTGAAAAGTCCCTTGAATGTGGAATGTACATTAGCTATTTATCGTTTAAAGCACTCATAAAAAAAAAAAGACCCCATAAACCTATAACCACCACGGCTGCTTCTACCCTTGCCACAACTCCAGCTCTTCTGGTCAAAGGTGAACAACCTATGATTCAGGTTACTTAAAAAAGATCTGATGGAATTCCCTGGTGGTCCAGTGACTAAGGACTCTTGGCTTGCATTGTCAAGGCTGTGGGTTTAATCCCTGGTCTGGGAACTCAGATCCCACATACACCTTGCTCTCCCAGCAGTTAGAATGTTAAAGGACAAGAGGAGGATGAGACCTGTCAATCATTTAGTTAGGAAACAACCAGGAACAGGTTGCCCCAAAACGTATTTTCCTAAGATTTGATGTAATGTAAATTTCTGTCTCATCTTTCTTTTTATTTTTTTAATCTTCTGGGATGTCCTTGGCTTCCATTGACCATAGCTGGAATCCTTCAGTATCTGGCATGGTTCCAAACACACAGTTAATATGGGACTAAGTAAATGTGCACTTAAATACGTAACCAGAGCTTCCTCCTGGATTGTCTTTAACGCCTTGTTTCTCCCCCTCTTGATCTCCAGGTATCTCGGATGAAGAAATTATCAACATTACTCTTCCTACTGGGGTCCCCATTCTCCTGGAATTGGATGAGAACCTGCATACTGTTGGGCCTCACCAGTTCCTGGGCGACCAAGAGGCTATCCAAGCAGCCATTAAGAAAGTTGAGGATCAAGGAAAAGTGAAACGAGCTGACAAATAAAGTCTTTCCCACGTGCTGGCTAGGAATAGCTGCAGAAGGAGTGGCATGCAGTGTGTTATGGGTGCTCATCTTGCTTTTCTTTTTCATTTTTGGTCTCCCTGCCTGATTTTTCCAGATCTAGGCTGTGGGGTAGAGTTTGTAGAGGTAATTAGGTAACTTAACCTTGGCCCAGTTAAAGGCTTTAGGATGCCCAAGTGCTTATGTCATAGCCTTATGTGCTAACCCCTGCCGGCCTCCTTTTAATTAGTCACTAAGTTAGTCACCAGTGGGGCTTAATCAATGTCCTAAGTTTCTGAGATGGGAAAGCTACAAGTGAAGGTCAAGTTCAAGGTTGTCCTCATTCAGTAAATCAGTATTGAGTCACTACTGACAGACCTTCACTTTAATAAGACGTTTGTGTTTATAGAAAATTTCTGGGATGATAATAAAGGATATTAGATACTATGCTCTACTTAAGTATTTATTACTAGTCTTTTCCTCAAGGAAAAGGGGTACTCTCATATGTAAGTGGCCCATTAAATGGGAGAGTCACAGATGGATTCTTCCAAAGCAGCCAGCTACAAACAGCAAGGCCCTTTGCCTCATCTCTAGTCCAGAGACATCCTGTTTGACATCTGGTGGAATTCCTTTCTGGCTGCTGGAATTAGCAGCATATAGACAACCATAGCTATTCATGTTCTCTTTTGTTTTTAAACATTAATCTTGGGCTCCTTAAAATTGATTTAAAAATAAGTTCTGTGTCTGAAAATGGTACCCCCAAAGTATTTCCATGTGATTCATAAGTATTAAGTAGAAGCTTCTGAATTAGTCTCTGCTCTCATCTTCCTGTAACACAAAGAGTTGTACTTGTTTCAACACACAGACATGCTTAATTCTCTATAAATTGAAGGTTGGGTCAGGGTGAAGATAGAATATAGCGGGTGTAATTTCATTCACTTGAACAGGGGAAATGGTATACTGGCACTTGTCATGTACATTTGTTCTTTATCTGCTGAGGTCAAAACATTATGGTACATAGCCTGTAGTACTCAGGATAGACCACCGACTGATTGATTGATTGCTCATCAATCTTAATGATACAGGATATCTTTAGATGCTGTAGACAGGTACGTCATCATTTCTTTAAGCTACTGCCTTATGTCAAAGCAAGTGACGTGCGTTTCAATGATAGTCATCTTAACAGTTTACAACTATAATAGCTATTACAGGTATCACCAGTTTTTCACGGTTTTCCATTGGTGGATTAGTTTATTTTTGTCCATTTTATAGTAAAATTGGCATTAGAAGGAAACTAATTATAAAACCCTTGCTACTGCTTGGTCTCCACTGATCCTTAAATCAAGACTTAGAGGGACTTTCCTGGCAGTCCAGTGGTTATGACTCTAAACTTCCAATACAGGGGACACGGTTTCCATCCCTGGTCAGGGAACTAAGACCCCACGTGCTGTGCAGTGCAGCCAAAAGATAAAAGATAAAGAAGACTTAGAGCATCAGCTGATAAATAAAGGTGGCTGAAAAGAACATGGTTTGCTCACAGCTGGCCACATCTGCAATGCGTAAGGACACGGAATGTGGCTGCTTGGCATTCCTGACCAACTACTGTCTTTTCTGCTGCCATCCTTCTTTTCACAGTCCTGTTGCCCAAACAAATAGCACTCTTTATAATAATTCAGAGATCAGGGCCACGAATACAACTACCGTCTCTTCCTAGAATTCCAAACCTATGGCTAAACTTCAACTCAGACCATTTTTGAACAGCTTCATCTCTGGAACTGGCATCTGAATTTTCCAGCCCAAGTGGTGACCATGTCTTAAAGCAGCTCAAGAACCCAGATTTGGATTTTCCCCTCATCCCACCTCTAGACGTCCACCTCCAGAGCACCCCCAGCAGCATGATTGCTCCTATGCACAAAGCTGTGCTCACGCTCAGTCACTTTGGAGTCTCACAGACTTCCGCAGAGAGGGATGATTGTTTGTTGCTGACACATTCTGGTACAATTTTGGTTTTATTGTTTTTGAGATCTTGGCTGAAATAAATGAAGCGAGATTTATGAAAACTTGATGTACAGTTATCTTTAACAACTTTAGCATGTCAACCTTGAGACCACCTAGCGAACCTGTTTTCTTTGCATGGTTTGCAAAGTATTCAGGATTTTTGATGTAGGTACCTTGAAGAATGCCTAACCTGGATCCTTATCTTGGTATCCTCTGTACTATGTCAAGCTGGGACCATAAATAGGGGGAATTTTTTAAATGTAAAAAATGATAGCTTATCTAGAAATCTGGTCCTTGGCGGGCCAGGTTTGGCTTGCCTTGTAACCACCTAGCCAAGTTTCTTCTACCCAGGCTGTAATAATTGTTATATGTAGGTCCAGTGTGGTAAGATAATAGCCATAACAAGATGCTATGAATTTTAATTTTTAAATATCTTAAATGAATCCTGTATCCCAGTACATTGAGACTTTGTTTTTCTGAAAAAACAAAAATTCTGCCTCAGGAAAAAGGTTCTTAAAATCATCCAGTGCAAATTTGAGCACTGAATTAAAGCATCCTCTATTAGGATACGTTACATCATGTATATTTCCTTGATAAAGATGTGCAAGGAAAATTTCTCAATATGATCTGGCTATTTCCATACTTAACCAAATTCTTTTGCCCCAAATTTGCAGACTATTTCTCATCTTGGGTCGTGACCACTTTTATTAAAATGCAGCCCTTCGTGTGCACATTAATGGCAGTGGTTATTTGTCTTCTAGCCTGGGAAACCTCCCCAGAGGCTCTGCAGCTTTGTTGCCAGATGCTTTTTTTGGTTAAAGCCAATCCCTGTTGGTCTGCATTTGGCCAACTTGGTAGCCAGAAGCAGAAATCCTTCCAGGAAAGAGAAGTCAGAGATCACATATGTTTCCCCCATTCCTACCATGTAGTTATAATTTTTTAGTTTTCCAGCCCCTCTCTGTTTATGACAGAATGAAGTAGGGGAACCAGCTTTACTGGACAGAAAGTTCATCATCCCCAGCATCATTTTTAATTCATTTTTATGCGCTTACAAGTGGCAAGTCTGTCTGCAAAGTTCAGGTTCCCTCTCACCTGGAAAGTCTTTCATATGTTTCTCTTCCCTCAGAAAAACAAAATTGCCTCAACATTTCAGACTCTGATCACTTTTCCTGCTTTTGTCTTCTACATGGTTGGATTTGCAAGTGTGGGACTCACTTCTATAGCACTATTCGTCTTAATAAATCATGCATTGCCTCTCAGCAGATCTGACTGTGGCAGATGCTATGTTATGCTGTATCCTGAGGGTTTCCACATTGGACTGTGAGGGAAATTTTGTCCCAAGGGGAATATGAAACGACTGTACTGTAAGAATAGTTTAAACATGCAATCTCTCTCTAGTGCCAAAGCTATTTGGCAAAATGATAGGCAGAATTAAAGTCACTCTTGCCCACAATTGGCGAAATTTTATTTATTGGAAGATAATCTCACTATATAGACTAGCTTTTAAGCCATGGAGTTCCATGGAGTTTAAGTCCAAAAAATGTAAGTTCCTTAGACAAAATCTTAAACATGAGCCAGATTGTCATCATCACTTTTGACTTTCACATAATAGAGCCACATTTTATTTGCCTTCTATTTAGTTGGGGCTGGCCATTTAAACTTATGCTTACTCTGATTTAACAGGAATATATTTTTAATATCTTTTTATTATAAAACATTTTAAACATCCACAAAAGCTGAGACTGTAAATAGCACAAGCAACACCCATTTACTGATGACACACTACCACTTCATTAACTCTGTTGTTGTTTAGTTACTAAGTCATGTCTGACTCTTTGCAACTCCATGGACTGTAGCCCACCAGGCCCCTCTTCTTCCCAGGCAAGAATGCTGGAGTGTGTTGCCATTTCCTTCTCCAGGGGATCTTCCCAACCCAGAGATCGAACCTGTGTCTCCTGCTTGGCAGGCAGATACTATACCACTGAGCCACCTGGGAACCCTTCATTAACTTGTGACCACCATTGAGTGTGTCTTCTCACTTTGCCCACTGGATTGCTTTGAAACAAATGCTGAATGTCAAACAGGATAGATTTTGAGAAAGAAAACCCCTCTGATAGTCTTCAACCAGTTAAAATGAAAGCCCCAGTAATCTCTTCTGATATTTGTCCATTTTGGTACTCTCAAGAAACAGCTATTGCTAAGTTGTCCAATTCAGGTCCTAAATACAGTTGCACTCTGTCCTTGCTCTTTAGAGAGCTGTTAGTCTGTTCTGTGTGACTTCTGCGGGATAATTTGGAATGATTGGGTAACACTGATGTTAAATTCAAGTGTTTAAAGATGTAAATGTTCCTGAGACAATTTTAAAGAATTACTTAAGTAATTCTGAATTTCATAGGTTTAAAAATTGAGCATATTTGTTGATGTTATTGTAAATTAGGTTACTCACAAAGGGAGAAGAGAGCTAGAAGGTGGAGGAAGATAAAGAAGACCACCATGTTACTAGTTTTGAACTGGAGATATTTGTATGAATGTGTATGTGATTTCCTCTCTCTTCCCAGCCCCACCTCTCCTTTTCCCCCACCCCAGCTCTGGTTGTGTGCTCCGAAAGAGCCTGGAAGCCATAACCTAGTAACAATGAACACACCTAGTTACCTTGGTCTTGTTTTCTAAATACTGTTCCACAGATCCAGCGATGTTTGGGAAAACTGTTGATTCCAGGTTGGAAGCAGATAAAGATAAAGTGAACTTAGAACACCTTGAGTCAGAAAAGAAGAAAATGCCCAAATACTGTTGGGGCATAAACATTGGCTTCAGGTGCCAAATTTGAGACGGTTTGAGTTTAAAGAATAACAGTGATGGATTAAAAAACATTTGTTTTAGCCTGTTCAGGCTGTTGTAACAAAGCACCACAGATGACTTAAATAAACATCTCTCATGTTTCAGGAGGCTGGGGAGTCCAAGATCAAGGCACTGGCAGATTGATTGTTTGATGAGAACTGTCTTCCTGGTTTTCAGACTGACATCTTCTTGCTGTGTCCTAACATGTAGAGAGGAAGGGGGTCTCGGTCTCTTCCTTTTAGAACACTATTCTTATCATGGGGGATCCACCCCCATGACCTCATCTACACCTGCTCACCTCCCAAAGGCCCCACCTCCAAACACCGTCACCCCAGGGAGCAGGGTTTTACCAATTAGGTTTGAACCTTAATTGGATATTTTGATTAAAAGTTATAAAGGACATTTTAGGGGCTGAAAAATTTGAGGTTGAGGTGTCATGATGCCCACAATTCACCTTCAAATGGTTCAGCCAACACAGTGTTCATACATATTTAAAGAGACACAGAAAGCAAATAATGAATTATAATTGATAAATTGAGGAAAGAATTTATAACGCTGTACTATTCTTCCAGCTTTCCTGTAGGTTGGATATTTTTCAAAATAGAAGCAAAGAAAAAGTAACAGGGGAAACATTGATAAGCAACCAAAACAGCCTCGTATTAAAAATGAAAACACGTTTTTGCTATATGCAATGACTGGATGAATGTGACTGGTTTCTGTATTTTTTAGTTCTCAAAATTTCAGTCTTTTGTTAGTAAAGGAAAACCTTCTTAAGTCTATATTATATTGTCAAGAAACAAAGAGTTGTATGCTTATTTTACTTCTGCTAGGTCTAGTGCTACAGTTACATATCAGACCAACAATTATTAATACCTTATCTGCTAATACCAGTCAGAAACAGGATTATGATTGCCATCACCTTGTAGCTGAACAAAGAGAATTTCTTTCTCCTGATGCAAGACCTTAGGCTTTAATCTTTTCCTCCCTGAGACCGACATCCCTTCTTAATGACACCTGTTTGACTCCTAAACTCCACCTAATCTCTGGGCATCCATTTCCTTGGAGTTTGGCTCCCTGAAGCAGTCATCTCCCGTGTGCCTTGTTTCACTCAGCTCAGTGTCACAGCTCAGCTTGAATACGTGTGACCTCGAAGCAGCTATGGTTTCTACTGCTGCTCCATGCTTCCTTCTACTGAGACTGCTGGGGGTCAATAGCCTGTAATGAATGCTTTTCATTGGCACTAAAAACCAGCCTTTTATTTATGTTGTGGTTGGCCACTTAAACCTTAAGTCTATTCTTACTTTAAAAACAAGGTTCATGAAAATAATCCCTGTTTTCATGAAGGAAGCTCTACCTTCTCAAGACGGCTTCATTTAATTCTCTGCAATGCCAAGTTCTTAAAAACTTCAGCATAGACCAGAATGCAACATAAGCTTGTGTCCAAAGAGCCAGTGCCTCACTTCCAGTCTGCAGAAAACAGATGCCATCTGATGGCAACTGCAGCAACCATAGACCGAAATGTTAGGTGGTGCCTTTCTTTCCCTGAAGCGCTTGCACCTGAAGGAGCTATTTGGTTTCTGAATTTTTACTCAAGGATATCTCATGAATTCACTCTAGCCACACAGATACTGAAAAGGGCACATTAGCCAACCACATTGCCCTGTATCCACTCGAGAGGAAGCTTCATTTGATGTAATGTTGACCTAGTGTCAGTCGCTCATTTGTGTCTGACTCTTTGTGACCCTATGGGCTGTAGTTCACCAGGCTCCCCTCCAGTCAAGAATACTGGAGTGGGTTGCCATTCCCTTCTCCAGGGGATCTTCCCAACCCAGGGATGGAACCCAGATCTCCTGCATTGCAGGCAGATTCTTCACCATCTGAGCCACGAGGGAGGGTCAACATTGACCTAGGTAGAGAGTAAAACACAAGCTGGAGTTTGTTTCTGTCAAATTAATTGTGTAAAAATCTCTCTTACTGAAAAGACTTTAGAGCAGTTAAACCTGGAACTTGGAGCAGAGAGAGTCAAGACCAATTATATAGTGTACACTCATGATTGAGGTCATTTAATTCACTATGACACTTTTTCTAGAGACCATTCACTGGAGTTCTCCAGGCTGCTTCTAGCCACTGGTATAGTAAAATACTAGTCAGTATTTTTATTTCTGATGCACCCCCAGGATTCTGAATTGGATGGTAGGAAACACTATTTGTAGCTGAAATTCCA